TCCATTGACTAGTGGATTTGTGACATGCAATTAATAGCATCTGAAAACCAGACCTTACTAGTTTCTGTCTAACAATGGGGATCAAATGGGAACATTTACAACTCAAGCAGTCTGATAGACTAATTGAACTGTCTGACATCAGTAGTAATCATTCCTGATTTACTTTGTACAAGTCAATGCAAAAATCAGTGTGAAGCCGCTGTGAAGGATCCTAGAGGCATCTCAAACTGATCTCAAAGTGCTAAGTAAATGTACTTGAAAGCATGCTGCACTTTACCCCTCTATATAAGCCCTTACACTGACCAACTGGTATAAGAATGCGTCAGAATTGTTACTAGGTAATAACTGTAATTTCTTGTGATTCGAAATGTTATGTACACCTTCTATCTGGAGAGGTCTCACAACTCTTATACCCTTTCATTTTTGTCTTCCTCCCTGAAGTTTTTTATGATCAACTTTATTTTCCTTTACATAAGTGCACTATTTCAGCATTGCCCATTTTTACTTCCGAATGGTGAAGATGTTCAGAGGGTCTTAGATGAATGGAAAGAGTACAAAATGGGAGTGCCTACCTATGGTGCCATTATTCTTAATGAGACCCATGAAAATGTGAGTGGTTTACTTATAAGCCAAGATATCGTCATAAAGTCTTATTTTTCTGTTGAATGCAATGTTGGAATTGCCTCTAAAATTGAAATATGTATGCACAGGGGTTGTTCTGTGAAAACCGCATGCCAAAACCTTTAGTAGATCCTGAAATACTCATGACTGAATTTTTGTGAATCTTGATTTATTCTGCAAAAGTCAAACTTGGATCCGTCCCCTCCCATGTTTGACGTGATTGACCAATTGAAGGAGGAGTAGGCAGAACCAAGCACAGCTTTTAGAGGAAAAGTCCAGATTTACATTACGTCAGCTTCCCTTGGATCTACTGATCATTCTGATATGTAGTTCTCACAAACAGTAACCTACTTCTTTTATCTTCTGCTTTGTTTGTGTTGCAACAGGTTAGATGGGCTTTAATATGGACCGTGAAAGTAACGTTTTTTTTCAACCTTAATATAAAAGAGAAAAGTAGTCAAGATTATTAACCTACACAGGGACCACGCCATGCAGAATTGTAGTTAAGCCCCCGACATACGTAGATTGTCAATCAATGTGCACGCCACTGGGATCCAGTCCTGTGATGAATGAATGTGACCTGGTCACATTGACCTTGTTACAGCGATTCTGCAAGTGACATGCTTCTTCTGTAATCTGCTCTCAATTCCAGCTGCAGCTAACCTGTACAGTGGAAAGACAATTACATCTCTTTGCATTTCAACTCCGTAATCTCTCTTCTCTCCCTCGTTTTTTACACTGATCTTTAAATAATTTCTTAACCATTGTGAAAACTTTTTTTACAATTTGATTCAATTTTTTTCTGTGGTATTTAAAAAAAAAATAAAAATAAAATAACATACACAGAATTTAAATGGCATTCCTTTTTAAATAAAAGTAAAATCAATGTTCCTATTGATAAAAGGGACATATTAAAACATAAAATGTATTCTTTATATCTACATTGATTCTAGTTGTTTCAAAATGATCACTAGTCAAACTGGCAAAATAGCAATTTTTGTCTTTACAATTTTTTTTTTTTTAATGCATTGAAAAAGGATTTTAGGAAGGCAAAACCAAAAAGAGAGCCTCATTTATCACAAAATAAATGTATTTCATTTATATCACTTAGTATTAAATATATTTACAATATTATTGATGAATCCAGTAGGCTGCAGTGAAAGAGCAGAAGCAGTTAAAGGGACACTTGCCCATGCAGGGAAAAGTGACATTGTTGCTGGAAAGCCTATAAACTCTTATATGGGCCCTGCTAGCATTCCCCTGCTGCTCATTCCTCCTGTGCAGTCATCCCAATACTGTCACAATAACTGGCATTTCTGGATATGGAGGAGCATGTGATCTCTTTTGTGACAGTGCTTGGGTTTAGCAGCCAATTGCTAGGCCTGTGCACTGTAACAGGACCATGAGAGTGAGGTCATTGTTCCCCGGTGTCGCTGACACAGCTTATTCTGATGTAGGCTGCGGAGGAGGAAGCAGCCGTGGTGGACTTGCTAGTAAGGTGAGTTATAGTGGGGTGGAGGATCTTTCCAGAGTTGCTGCCTCTTTGCTCAGCATGGACAATGTCTCTTTAATGCACTAGAATAATTATTTGAAAATATAAATGTATTTTTAGTAATGTGTTGAGCACCATTTGGGTAAAGCTGCAAGAGATAAGTAAGCGCTGTCTGACATCTCCCCAAGCATGTAACAAAGGAGTATTATTTGGGTCTAAATAAATAATAAACACAGGCTAAGGACTTTTGTTTTGACCCCCACTAACAAACATTTATGGTTTTGTAGGTTCTGCTTGTCCAGGGTTATTTAGCAAAATCTGGCTGGGGCTTTCCTAAAGGGAAAGTGAATAAAGAGGAGGCTCCACATGACTGTGCTGCAAGAGAGGTATCTCTTTTTTGTGTGTTCTGTAGAATGTTGTAATACTACACAAATATATTGCAGGAGCTCACCAGAAACATTTGGGGTCCACATTTCCAGTGTAAAGCATTAATCCGAGCCAAAAGAATTGCAGAAGTTCAATTTAGGGCACTGGAATTATCCCATTTATTGCCGTTCTAGCATAGTACAGCATTAAGCTGTAGCAGGACATTTGGGCTCTCGCTGCCCTTTTGAGTGTCCCATTAAATTCAAATTACACTATTATTGCACTGGTTGCACAACACCCAGTTCTATCAAGTTGTTTCTGCTAATAAATGAACAATAGAAATCACCAAATGAAATTCAAAAGTCAATATATTTGGACTAAACGTCACACATATTTCATAATCCAACGTTTCTGGACCACGCAGAGATGTGACGTCTCTGCCATGATGAAGGCACACTGCCTGTACAACAGTCAATGAACAATGAAAATCACCAGCACTCCGTAAATTAAATTCTAAAAAGTCAATTTATTTGGACTAAACATCACACATATTGCGTAATCCAACGTTTCGGGACCACGCAGAGACGGGACGTCTCCGCCATGATGAAGGCACGCTGCGTGGTCCCGAAACGCTGGATTATGCGATGTGTGTGAGGTTTAGTCCAAATAAATGGACTTTTTTGAAATCCATTTACGGAGTGCTGGTGATTTCTATCGTTCATTGACTGTACACGGCGCCATCCGTGATTGTCACTGCGAGCACCACTATTTTCATTTGGACCGGAAGCGCAGTAAGGAGTGCAGGGGAACCTACTGTTTTCTGGAATTGGTTTCTGCTAATAAGGTATTTTGTTGATCCTTAATAATGAGCTTACCAATGTTGACTCGTGCAAATGCCTTTTAATGTTACAAAAATGTGTGTGGAAAAGACCAAGAGGGCCTATTCAGAAAATAACCATTTCTAGAAAATGTATTGTTTCCCTAGTGGATTGATTATAATATTGGAAGCTATGCAGCTGTCTGTATTGCTGCGCGTGGTTGTGTTCCACGTAAAATCCCCCTTGGGATAAACCCCCCCCAAAAAAAACCCCCCCAAAACAGCATTAAGGAGGCAGTATTGTATCTTGAACACCTGACTGCTGCTTGATCAACCTCTGCAAAAGCGTTTCACCACACTTTTCTGAGGGGTGGTAAAGTTCACCGGTCTTAGTCGGCATGTTTCTGATTCAGTCAACTTTCCAAAGCATGCTCAGTTGTGCAGCATTCACGTAATAGCAAAGAAGGCGAAATGTCACGTTATCTGCCATCTTCTTTCACTGCTCTCTCAATGTCTTTTTTTCTCTCTCTCATGTGACCATTTCCTCATGAAGTGGAGAAAAAACACAGGAAAAAGTATATTTTGTGATCGGAAGAGCTGGCTGCATTTATAAAAGTAGGCATTACAGAGTGACATCACATTTGCTAGTGACATGTTTTCTCCCTGCATTGTAGCTAGTTGAGACTTCCAGAAATTCATTATCAGTGTTGCTTTAATCTGGGCACACGTTACAGTCGGACCATACGATCTCCTTTAGGTCTGAACAAGCTCTGTAATGCGAGGGCCTGTGTACTTGGCTAAGATTTTTGCTGTATGTGTAAGATCGATGAAGTAGATAGAAAGAATATGATTTATTTCTCATCCACAGAATGTTGGTTTATAAAATGCTGATCTGTTTTTAGGTGCTTGAAGAGACTGGCTTTGATATCAAAGATCGCATGTGCAATACTGATTATATCGAGCTGAAGATCAATGACCAGTTGGCTCGTTTATATATCATTCCTGGAGTCCCAAAAGACACAAAATTTAATCCTAAAACAAGGCGAGAAATAAGAGTAAGTTGCTTGAACACAATTGGATTCACTTGCTGACCAGATTTAGCTGTGAGTAGTAGTAAGTGACATATTAAAGATGAAATTACCAATGTAGAAACGTAAACACAGAACTGGAGAAATGAGGCAGGAGTGCTCATTGTATGTTTTATCTATCTCTCAAAATTCTGTGACCAGTGTCCTGAACTTTTAAAGTATATTAAGTGTTTCCCTGTCACCATCCCTTCCTGACAGTCTTATACTCACCTGTCCCTGATCCAGCAAGTTATCACTCATGAAGCTGTAGAGGCGCTTGTCAAAATCTCCTAATCCACCCCAGAGATGTGCAGCTTCATTCAGTCCAGTGAAGAGTTCAAACTCCATGCTCTGGTGGAATATGAACTTTTCATAGGATGTAATGGAGGATGCACATCACTTATGTGTTCCTGGCTTACAAGGTCCGACGAGCATCTTTGCATTGGGGATCTACTCATCTGTTCCCAAACCAGCAAGATAAGACTGGCAGGGGGCTGGACTACCTACAATATAAGTGTACCTGGGGGGAGTTTTACATGCAAAAGGATTTCTGTTTCTGCCCATTGATTCCTGAGATATACACAGCCTCATCACACAGCCAGACTGATGACATCACTTTCTCTGTTGCAGTTGAAGAGGAACTTTACACATATCTTTGAAATGACAATAAAGACACCTTTTAGAAACATTAAGTCATGGCAATCTACAGGCACATACTTCTATATAATTCCTGGCTTTTTATTCTTTGCATACCTTATTTCTATTTTCCTCTCCATTCTTCTCACAGTGGACATTTTTACTAAGGGCAGATTAATCCATCTCCCTTTACTTCCTGGAACTCTGGCACATGTTACAAGGACATGTGACCATGTACATCATCTCAGGGGAGGAAAATGCCTTTCTCTGAGATCTCATGACATTCCAGATAAGATTTCCCAGCAATGCTCTGCTGATGTAATCATCGCTTGGACACAGATTACATCACAAATGCCTAAGAGAACCAGGAAGTGGAATAACTGTAACTGTAAGTAAAAGCAAAATATGTTTATCTAATATATGTGCTATGATTTAAATGTCAGCATGCAGAGCTGTATGCTGATGTGATTTATAGTGAAAGGGGATAAAGGTCCACTTTAAGAAATACATTGCTGTCATCTCCCCTCCCTCAGCCTGTAAAAGAGCAGCAGGAGACTGTTCACATCATTCTTTCTGCTCAGTCTGTTCTCTTCTATTAGCAGGATTCTTGTCCACACATTTGCATGCAGCACACCAGTTGTGTTTTAAGAAAATACTTTTATTAATGTATAAATGAATACAGAGTGCTCTCCTGTACCTGATCTTGCTCACCAAATTGCTGTTTGTCAAAATGTTCATGTTGGGCCTGCGCATGTGCTCTGCTCATGTGCTTCGTTCCTATTAATTTAAGAGTATGAGAGTGTCACAGATTAACAGGATATTTGTAAATCCGCAGACTCCACATAGTCTGGGAAACCATTTGTGCTCCAATCCCAAACTTTGTACTCTTCTATTTCTGATGGGCCTATTTTTCTAATGTACCGTATATACTCGAGTATAAGCCGAGTTTTTCAGCCCATTTTTTTTGCTGAAAAGTGCCCCCCCTCGGCTTATACTCATCAAGTTGTAGTTTTTATATTTTTGACATTTTAGCCCTGTTTATATTCTAGTACATCTTTATTTTTCTCCACCCTTTGACACATCTAATATAAGACAGCAAAAAATAAACTTTGTAATTTCTGTTATTTTTTCCCTTAAGTACGCTTGTAAATTATCCACTGCTCTTTAGAAATGTTTACATTTTGGACTTTTCTGTGGGGCTCTATAATAACTGCCACCTTCTCTATCTGCATATACTCACCTTCCTTTGGCCTCCTACTGCAAACAATGAAAATAAATATCTGGTACTTCTGGGTATGGGGAGCATGTGAATGCCTCCCCTTCCTCCCACATGACTATGCTGTTGTTTGTTGTTTTGGCAGCTCATGCATCCAGAGCTGTCAATTTAGGGTGAATAGATATTCTTCAGCCCCATGTAAGCTTTACATAGCAACTTCAAATTTACAAAGTGCTTCTTCTCTTTGCTTTTGGCTCCCGACAGAGTAGCGGGGGATAAAAAGGATGGTATGTGCAGCTGGGATGGCCACCAGTTAAGGGAACCTGCTGCTTTTTCGTGCATGGAAAAAGCCTAACTCACTTTAGGCATTCACATTAATCACTATGGTGCACCACCAAACTGTGTTTTTTGAATGCATCACTCACAGTATATATATTTATATATGCTTAAGTTGATTACTTTTATTTTCTTGCTTAGTCATATTACACACAAGCCCAGTCTGGCCTCAGAAACTTAGTGGAAGAAGGAGGTTTCATAGGGAGGCTGCAGAAAGCCAAGTAGCACTAGCTTTAGAGTTGCTCTGTGAAAACGGCTTATTAGTGGGGGTTCTGAGAAGGACATCCTTGCCAGTCAGCTGGATTTGCTCTGTGAAAACCTGTTGTTTTTTGTTTTGTTTTCTTGCAGAACATTGAATGGTTTCCAATTGAAAAACTACCTTGTCATAAGAATGACATGACTCCGAAATCAAAATTAGGATTAGCTCCCAACAAGTTCTTTATGGTCATACCATTTATAAGGCAAGTATTAAACACTAATTCATGTCGGTTGTGGTCGCTTTATTTAGTAAATTAATATTAAAGTTCCGCAATTTCTTTTTTAGACCATTAAGAGATTGGCTTCAGAGAAGACTGGGTGACTCATCTGACAGTGATAATGGATTTGCTTCTGCTGGAAGCACACCATCCAAACCTAATGGGGAAAAAACAAAGTAAGTCATTAGATCTGTATGCCTTTTTTTTTTCTTGTACATAAGCTGACCTTATACAGGCTTTACATATCTTCTGTAATTAGAGAATACCACATTTTTATTTTTTGCACTTGCTTTATGTACTTAAATCCATGTTTTAGTTCAATCTGAGTTTATTAGAGAATTTTTAGATACACAGAACATTACAAGAAAGGCAATTAGACAATGTTGCCAAATACAATGAGAAAGCATTGAGATAAAAAGTCCCCTTAGTACCGCTTCCAGGAATTCCCACTGGACGGGGAGAGGGGTTTGGTCTGAGGTATGGAGCTCAAGAAATACGTTATGGCTTCCAGAATAGCGGAAGAACAGCGAGGGTCAGCCAGTAGGGACTCAATTAGTCGCCAGGTCCACTCCCTGGTGGGTGCTTGCGGGACCTGTAGGCTTAGCGTGACTGCTGCATGGTCTGACCATATCATAGGACCGATGTCGCAGGAGGGGGCCCAATCCAGCAGGGATGAGACACAAAAAAGTAGTCCAACCTACCATAGGAACGGTGGGGCGCAGAGAAATGGTTATAGTTGCGCGTCCGGGGGTGTAGGACTCTCCATATATCGACCAGGCGGAGATGGGTCCGGTGTTTTTTAACACTGCGGAGCTTGGGGAACGACAAAGCAGAGCGTCCGGTGGAGGAGTACAGATTTGGGTTTATAGTGAGGTTAAGTATTGGGGAGATAGAAGTTGGCTAGGGTGACAGTCCTACCCCAGAGTGACAGCTTCAGCATAAGATACCTGCCAAATTCGTCTGTTCGGTGGTCTAGCACCGTTGCAGGGAGAGATATGTGGAGGGCGATGGAGACCTCCCTCGACTTTTGAATACAATCAGTACTGTGGTACCACTTGGTGAAGTACCTATTACACATCACCATTCCAATGACTAAAGGGGAGAAAAAATGGTTGGAGACAATATATGGTGAGGCATTTTAGATTTGCGGGGTGCCAACAGTGGGGCGGTCCAGAAAAGCCACATTAGGATACATAGCTAGGACTCAAGGAGCAGGTCATCGTCGTTCGTTAGCTGAGGGGGCCACAGGCATAGAAGGTCCGGGACCTCTCTGGGTGGAACGGGAGTGGGACCGTCTGCGGCGTTGAGGCAGGACCGAGGGTTGTTGAGGGCCCTCTCCAGTGAACGGTAGATCCAGCCAGTCCGGGACAGAAACCGGGTCAGTCTCAAGAAAGCCAAATAATTCCGGTAGCTGCGATGGAGAGCGAAGTTGGATACTGAAGGGGTTACCCCATCTGCATGTGGCTCCCACCTGGCGAATGACATCCAGCAACGGCCGCACCGATCTACCCATGGCCAGGGTCAGGCGGGAAAGATCAGGGAGAAGCTGTATGGAGGCGCCGTCAAAGTCAATCGGGCCCATGCGCCACACGGATCGGTGGATCTCCTCTTTTATGGCATAAAAATGTACCCGACATCTCTATTAGGGTTCCCCACGTTGACATTCGAGACACGATGTCGCTGACCAGTTCAATTTAGTTAGTAGGGGGCTTCCCCAATGCCAAGTTAAGGATGGAGGTGACCTGTAGCGTGTAGGTCAAGACCCATTGTGGCCTCAGGGATCCCCCTTAGGCGGATATTTTTGGCCTGCTCCTATTCTCGCCATCTTCCACTCTGAGATGCAACAGCTGGAGGTGGGAGCGGTGGGACGTCTGAGCTACCTCTAAGGCTATTATGCGAGTCTCGTGTAGGGATACTGATGCTGACAGGGCAGACACAGCAGAGTCAGTGGCAGTGACCCGGTGACTGAGTTCCCTCACCTCGTAGTGCGCCTTCCAGTCTCGCGACCCAGCAATCAAAGTCTGCCCGGAAGGCAGAGAATAGTGCACACACCTCGGTGGCTGTTGATGGATCCGGATCCAGGGAGACTGCCAGCAGCGGAGGGTCCAGGGCAACCGTGACAGAAGTCAGCTGTATAGGTGGCTGAGGGGGTGCCAAAGACTCCAGTGTCCTCAGCCCCGCGGGTCTGACAGAGGAGCGTCTGCGGGGGGTTTGCCGTCCCCTTCTTCGTCTGGGGGTCCTTCTGCGCCATATTGCGGCCTACCTGAGCGGCGTCACTGCCTGGGTGCCGCGCAAAGTAAGAGGAGATATCTCGACTGGAGGAGGGAGCCGCGGGTGAGTCCTGATCACCGTGCAAAGGAGGAAAATCTCACTGATTGCTGATAATGTCCACGGTATAGAGCCCCGGTATAGCAGAGCTCACAGCCGCAAGTCCTCGCTCCTCCATGCCTGGCCACGCCCCCCTTATATCCATGTTTTAAATCAATTCTAGTTAAACTGATTTACAGTATATCCTGTAGTTAGTTTGATAGCTCTCCGGCATGTTTATTCCTCACTCTGTGAGGATGGGTGATACCTGAGAGCAGTGTTATCGTCCAGTTCATACCTTCCCTGTGAGCCAAGTTTTTGCTTTTGCTTATTTTCTATTATTGACTGAAAAGTTATAGGGGAAGTGAGCATCATAGATCTGTGCCAGTTAACCTCTTGCCGTCCGCCCGTAGTAAAAAAACGGACGGACGGCACTGCTGCATTGGCGGGTTGCCGTCTCCAGACGGCAATTTTTTTCTGCTCGCGCGCGCCCCCGTAGCGGGCACGCACTCTCAGAAAAGACCCGACCATTGCACACACCCGTTACCGGGTGTTTCACATATAGGCGATCAGCGGGTCCATAGCCTGCCGATCGCCTATATGTGCTCGTTCGCGTCCGCCACCGCGCGGTGCTTCATCAGCTTCTTTTGGGGTCCACAGGTGACATTAGGGGTCCTAGAGACCCCTAATGTCTCCATAAAGAGGACCTGTCAGTGTGCCTTTGCTATTATATAGGGGGATTGTTATCCCCCTATATAATAGCAATAACAATAAGTGCAAAAAAATAAATATAAATTAAAAAAAAAAAAAGTAACAACTGTCATTAAACAACAACAACAACTGGGCGGGGCTAGCCATGATATCTCGGCTGGCTCTGCCCAGCTGTTGTCATTTGCGGGAAATACAGTCTGCTTTGGCTGAGCCATTGAGCTGCTGTACAGGCTTCTGTGAATCGTCCATACAGCAGCCCTTCGGTTCGACTGAAACCAAGGGCTCCGGCAGCCAAAGTGAGTCGGAGCTACGGCTGGATCCTTTGGCAGGTAAGTGAATAACCCTCTTAGTCTGCATAGCAAAAGGACCTATCAGGCCATAGTGTATTTTAAGGTATTTAGCCACTTGCTGACTGGGGTGTTTACACCCTCTTCCTGTCCAGACCATTTTTCAGTGTTCAGCGCTGCAGTACTTTGACTGACATTTATTCCGTCATGCAACGCTGTACTGAAATGAATTTTATACCATTTTTTAGAGACAGAGAGAGCTTTCTTTTGGTGGTATTTAATCACCACTGGGGGTTTTATTTTTTACTATATAATGAAAAAAGTACCGAAAATTTCGGAAACAAAAATGTTTTCCCTATGTTATACTATAAAACAATTATTATTACCCAAATTTTTGGCAAAATATAAAAGTCGGGGTCACGTCGGTTAAATAGACACCAAACATGTCAAGCCTTTAAAATTGCGTGCGCGCTGCTTATGGGACGTTTAAAAACACCCACCCGCATTCAAGAAGCCGCTGTCCGGCCGTTTAATTACAACGGCCAGACAGCAGGTGGGTAAATAAAAAATGTCTAATGTTAATTTTGTTTGATATTAACTTTTTATTGTTCTATATGACACCTGACTGTCATTAGTTGTCACTACATATTTTTAAGGAAATATGTAGTGACAAGTTTGTATGTGATCTTAATCGGATAAAAAAAAAAAAAATACCATCTTTTTTTTAAAATAAGATACACAAATGGAGTGTGACAAACATAAAGTTTACTTCAGAATAAACGCAGGCCGGAGGCGCATTTGGGGTGCCGTTGAAATGAATGCCACCACAACACACCTCCAAGCAGAGTTTGTGAGACCGAAAATGACAATCTCACCTTTTTTTTTTGTGTATTATAGTTAGACATTTTAGTTTCATGGATTTAAAATGTAAATCTAAAAACTCCCAGGCAATATAATAAAATAGCCAAACCTTTATTTAACCTCTTGCCGTCCGCCCGTAGTAGAAAAACGGACGGACGGCACTGCAGCATCTGCGGGTTGCCGTCTCCAGACGGCAATTTAACCAAAATTGGACAAAAAATAAAATTTTATATATTAAATAAATACTGTATGTAAATGCCTGGTCTTCAGTTTGGAGTTAGCCATGATTATTGGACTGAAAATTATTGTTCTCACTCTGGCGCACGCGGCATTAGTATGCATGCGTTCGCGGGGAGTTTTAAAATGTTTTACTTTTTGGTATTTTTTGTTTTTATTTATTTAGTTTTTTTTATTTAATGTAATTGCTATCACATGGGGGCTCTCACAATCCCCCTATGTGATAGCACATTGGAGGTGACAGGTTCTCTTTAAGGTGACACTAGGGGTCTATTAGACCCCTAGTGTCACCTCTCCACTTTAAAGAAGCTATTCATGAGCACATGGAGCTTAAATAGCTTCAGCCAGGGAAGTACAGCGGTAAGATTCCTCAGCAGGCAGCTGAATGTAAACCGCTGGGCACCAGCTGCATTGGTCTGTGTCCCCCTACCTATGCAGCACCCAATCACCATGCCTACTTGCTGTCACGTGATTGGGATAGCAAGGCAGCAGGATAATGGTCACTGCTGTATAGTAAACCTACAAGCATAATGGCTGGTATGTGACTAATATGAAGAGCACTTCTACTTTTCTTTTGCTATTATAAAATAGTTCCCTGACTGCAAAAACAAAGTCAGCCTGTATTATAATATATTCTAGTTGCATCTCTCAGTACATTTATATAGTAAATTTATGTTGCCTGTTTTGTTTTTCCTAGACCCAAAATGCGTTGTATGCCTCAGTTTTCTGAGCCTGCTCATACAGAACAGGGGACAAAGGCCAAGGTACAACAAAAGCCAAACAGCAATTTCAGTCCAGCAGAGATGTCAGAACTTTTAACGATTAAGGTGATTTTTCTTCCACCTTTCTAATTACTATTCATATTGGAACAATGATCACAAAATCAGCACCATTGCTTACTGAACTGGCATCCTAAAAGAGCTACAGGTGAAGTTTTTTAGTGCTGTCAGAAGCGAGATCATTTTATAATCTTGTATGTTTACCAACATAAAATCTTTGTAGAAGGAAGGCTGAAGTTAAATATGTTTTCATATACACTTTTGTGGAAAGTTTAATGTGATGGCCTCCAAAGTATCTTCAAATGCAAACTCTATTAAATTGAAAGTTTAAAATTGTGAATGAATGTGTACTTGCAAATCTGTTACCTCTTGAGTTATCCATATTTTATTATATGCCATCATGTACATGTTCCTTAGCATGGTGGTGAAGGTGTTTCTACTGTCTGAGGGAAGTGATGTAATCTTTCCCTCACAGGAAATTCTCTGTTGGGGCTATTTTCATTCTCTGCCAGGTACCAGGTGTGTAATGGTGTGGTTCTGTCCCCACCCTAAACTTTCCTTTTATCTTGCTATTTTGTTTGCCCTGTGCAGTGCTGTGTTCTATCCCTTATGTAAATGTAGGAGCATAATGACATACTAAGGGTAAGGTATGGAAAGACTCTGGGCTGTGGAGCATGCAGAGCCAAAACCAAACATGTCTTAGGCCTTGTTCACACCAAATGCAGAGCAGATCCGCTCAGGTTTCTGCACACACAGTGCAGTGGGTTTTGCCGCGTTTTTGAAGTGTTCCGGGCCGTTTTTGTTATTAAAAAAATAAAATATATATATTTTTTTCCCCCCAGCTTAAAATGGGCTTTCAGTGCGTTCCAGGCATTTGCATGCGTTTTTGATGCGTTTGTAGATCCAGAGCAGGTAAAATAGGGCCTGCTGCAGTTTTTTCACCTGCTCTGGAACTGCAAGCTGCGATGTGAACTGGAGCAAAAAATACCATTGGAATACATTGGACGCAGTTTTGATCCGGTCTGCAACTGCTCTGCACCTGCTCCGCGCTTGGTGTGAACAAGGCCTTAGAGAATCCCAGGTCCTACACTATGCCTGCACAGCAGCTGAGTAACCTGGAAAAACCACAGGACATGTAGTTATGCAAGTATGCATGCACAGTTTTTAGTTTGTTTGCATTAACCCCTTCATGACTGAGCTTGTTTTTAGTTTCTGTTCGTAAATGACTGACACGTTTTACATTTTTGTTGTATGATCCTTCCACGTCAGTCATATACTTTCTTACAAAAGGCACTCACACATATTATATATTGGTTTTTAAAGGACAGATGGGGGCTATATATTTATATCACATATTTGTACCTAACACCTCACTTAGGACAAATAAAATAAAACAAAAAGAGGAAAAAACGTAAAGAAAACACCTTTTCGCTCCCGTTCATTGAAGGACACAGGGAACAGATCGGAGATCCTGTACAATTTTGATTTGTAGTATTTTTTTTTTTTTAGAAAAATAGCACCGCTAAAAAAAATACAATAAATACATTCAATTATTTTGTCCTTTTATTTGGAGAAACCTCACATCCCTAGGATTGTAGAAATGTTTCTGTACTTATCAGCCTAAAACTAAAACCTAACATTTTAATCTTTTTCTTGAAACGCTAAAAGTGGTCACCTGGCATACTAAGTGTCACACTTAGCGACATACTTTGAACATCACTGTCATGAGGTAGTTAAATAAGAAAAATTAACCCCTTAGGATGAAAAACAAATCGGCAGCTCAGCTGCAGATTTTCATTGTAATGGGTTAATTTTTATATATTAATAAACAAAACCATATACACAAAAATGCAACCCACCAATCCAAAGTGTCACTAGGCTAATTTAAATATATAATTTTTGTAACATTTTTTTTTTACACTTTACGCTATTTAAAAAATAAAATAATTTTATACATTATACAACTCACTATTACTGCTTTTATAATTTAATTCATTTTTGGTTATTATTAGGCTGCTTCAAACTTAAAGGGTTATTAAACCCTCACATATTTTTGCATATATCTACTGCTAGCAAGCAGTAGATATATGCAGAAACATAAAAAAAAAATACCCTTTAAAAAGGGTTTAAACTTACCTTGTGTCTTCGCCGCGCACTCCCGTCCGAACATCTGAAGAGTCTCGGGCGGCCGCAAAGGGTCTTGGGGCGGGGGCATGCGCACTTCAGATGTTCGGCCGTGAGACGAGGAGAGACGCAAGGTAACTCTATGGAGCAGCGTGCACCCACACAGACTCTGTGGGACATCAAAAGAGGAGGACAGAGGAGTCGGCACTGGATCGGAGACCCGCACCCATCGCTTGAGGCACAGCTGAAAAGGACAGGAAAGAAGATCGGATTAAGAGACATCATTTAAGGTAAGTCCCTACAACAGGATTGGGAGGGGTGGGGGAAAACTTTGACTTTAATGTCACTTTTTAAGAACAGCCAATAATAACCTTAGTGACACTGATCCTGCAGCATTTCAGGATCAGATGTCACTAAAGGTTTTCTGATCGTTCCAACAACGTTTGGAAACGTTTATCAGCAATGAAAACATGTATCTAAATGTTTCTATTGCTGAAAATTTAGAGGGAAAAAAAAAGCCGGTATACATCGGGATTTCCCAATCTATACCAGCTGTCAGGGAGAGCAGTAAATGCGGCTCTGCTCTCACTGACAGACAACCGATTCCTGAAAGGGATCGGGTGTCTGAAAAAGCTTAACTCTTTCATTAATGGATGCTTCAATACTGAGGCAGCCATTAATGAACGGTTACCGCTGATTCTTAACGGTTACCAGCCTTACAGAACCCCAAATAACCGCGTACAGTGTACGTGAGCAGTCATTTGGGCACTTTGTGGCGGGATGTACAGTGTACGTCTCCCGTCACGAAGGAGTTAAAAAAAAAAAACCCTGCTTTTAAAGTGGGCCTTGTACACCAAGTAACGTCTGATGATTTAATATTTACTGGGGACCCCTTTGCTAAAATACTGCACTAAAATATAAGAAAGAAAACTGCAGGGTGGCAAAAAGTTTATGTTCGTATATTTTTCCTGGCTTCCATACTTCAAGGCTGTTGTCATTTTCCTTCTACGAGATCCCAGGGAGCATTGAGCAGATCCAGCACTGTGCAGGGGTATCTTCTGAATATTTTAGCATTGCCATGGGCCTGGGTGGATGGATAGTGACGTAACTCTTGGCTAGGCACATCGGCTGTGTGTATCAGGGGTAAGGTAAGTGTATTACCTAACATTTTTGCCGCCTAAGGGGTTTTTCTTGTGCTAGGGGCAGGGGGCCCCCTCCGAAAATAAACATAACCTGCCATTTTACTGCACGGTCTGCTTTAAATAATTTAAAGATACAAGTTCCAGGCCCTTTTTTAGGTTCCTTTGTAAGGCATTCCACATTTCTGAAAATGGTTCTATAATCATACAGAATTGATGGCTAACATGGTACAAGACTTGACTACATACAGTATATACGGTTAGCCTTTTGTCTTCAAATAAACAATTGAGTCATCATGGATTTTTAAAGACGTTACACCTGAAATGTAAAAGCCACTTAGAATTATTTACGGTTTTAGCCACAAACCAACTGTTGTCCGGTCTTTGTTGTACTCTTCAGTTAGCATCTGATTGTCAATCTTGCTGTGTTCAGATTGCAGCATTATTTTTCCTGGTCTGCTCAGATTTCTTTGCAGTTGATTGAAATAATTAGCTATTTATGGAGAGCAACAAAAGGTGTATGAAAGAATCTGGTGTCATGACCTGTACTTTAGCCACATATCGCCCCCTGCTACACAAAGGTTGTATGAATTGTTATATGGTATCACATAGTTTATATAACGTAAAGTGTACTGAAGTGTGATTGTATTTTAGCATATTAGTACATATGGTGGCTGCATTAGGTTTTTCAGGCTTCCTTTCCCCTTTTATTGTCCCCTGGTGATCCTGCCAGTAACACACTTCCTGTTGTAGGGTGACAACGCTCACCACTGCATCTATGAAGGTGCAGTATTCCTAACAAAGGACAGGAAAGTACCTCCTACTTTCCTTTTCTCCATAACAGAAATGGGAGATGTTCTGTAGTCCACAGAGAACTGGGAAAAATGATTATTGATAAGGGTGTAGTTCAAGCAGAGAGCACAAGATTTCTGGCAGAGTCAACAGGTATTTTTTTTCACTTCTCCAGCAGCTATAACAAAATGCTTTCAAATTTATAATAAAATAGATTTTTTTTTTTTAAATGATAGAACCAGAATCTTAAGAGTAATGGTAAAAAGCAACATCAGGACTCTCCAAACCAAAAGAAGAAAGCAAATGGGGAGCACACTCCACAGGTCAAGCAGCAGATTAGCATTTTGGTAAGCTTTGATTTCAGATGGGATAATTAGTGTAGCAGAATTGTACATATTGTGTTGACATGTAAAAATGGGTCTCGTTCTTTCTGGGGTGCTTTACAAGTCATCAAAAGCATCTATGATTTGTGTCCCTGAACAGGGGGCTTATAAAGTTATTTGCAAACTGGCA